AAATTACTACCTGCTTTGAAGTGATATGTCATGTGGTCACTAGCAATACTAAAATATTTAACAAGAAGCACTGAAACTATACACAAAATCTCCATAATAACCCCCAGGTCTTTTTGTTCTGTTGTTAAAGCCAAAGGATTTACAATCATAAAGCACGTACAACACTCCAGACATTCACTTCCCAGCAAAAATTTTTAGTACAGTTCTTTACTTAAATGTTTATAATTACTAATGCTTTATTCCATTTTAGCTTTGTCAAAGATGTGCAGTTACAGCAACTGTAAAATCCTCATTCTATGATTGTTAGAATCTTTCTAAATTCAGCGCTAACTTTGTCAAACCTATTTCATCTATCTTAAAGCAGTGGCAGCACTGTTACTGTGCCCAGTTATACTGTAGACTTGAGAACCTGATATGTTCACAGATCCCAGACCACAGAAACGCAAAAAGGAGCCTTTTTGAAATGCACACCTTTAGTTCCACAAATGGTGTGCCTCTGCCTTAAGGCACTGTAGATGATCAGCACAAAACTCACTGAAACACCAAATCCTTAGCAATGGTTCCATAAAAAAAGGAGAAAGCAGATGCTTTAAAAAGAGGAAGTAAGCAAGGTAGTATCGGGTATGAAACACGATGTCTAAAGTTTTCACACTCTAGGCATATGTAAATTTTCCCACATCTTTGGTATTCACACCTATAGCAGGCAGGCCAAAGAACATAACAGTTACAATTGTCAAAAACAACAACAAAAAAAACCCCAAAACCAAACAACCAAAAAACAAAACAAAACACCCACAAACAAACAAACAAAAAAACCAAACCACAACTTGGTGATATTTCATGTCTGATAAATTCCATAGTTTGGAATATCCCTTAGTTTGGTGTTATGGAATTGAAGGAAGGTAGGGCTCTAGTGAGACCAGCTATATTACCTATAATCACCACAGAAGCTTCCTGACTGATCAGCAATAAGCCATTGTGCCCCGAAGCTGACCAAAAGGCTAAACTCCACAGTCTTATTTATTTAAACACTAGGTTTAGTTCAGCACGCTAAGTGGCAATTACCAAAGCTGCAAAGGTGCTCGAATTATAAGGCCAAGGGGCAATTCTCTGCAGAAGTTATTTTTCCTGTTCTAGTACAATTGAGCTCTAGTTTCTAGATGATACTCCAATACAAACACACAATACGAAGGAGGTTCAGTCACTTTCTGTCCTCTGACCTGCAATCCCAACTACTGCTGTGTGGCACAAATAGAACTGGCGGGGATATAGCACCATACTCTGCCTAACAGAGCTTCCAGAGCTGCATTAGGTTACGATGATTGCTAATGGAGAAGGAGCACACCAGAAAATAATTGGGACTTCTATACTTCTGTTGAAACCAGAATGCTAGTTGTTAAATGCTGGTGTTTGATACTAGCCAGCAGGGACTAGTCATGAGCCATCTTTCTGACTCCTGTTTCTGTGGTTTCCCATAAAAGCCAATATAGGGCAGTAGTGAGACACAAATTTAAATTATTTCTGTAAGGCACGTTGTTTGTGTTCTTGATTAAGCATGGCAGCAGCAATGATTTTGAATACAATTTTAAAGCATGCATTTAAGTGAAGAAGAATCATAAAACAATAGTTACTCTTTTCTTTAATGGAGCATGCTTATCTGCTTTCAAAATAAACATCAGATTACTTTTTATATCTTTAGTTTCTAACATATTCCTAGTCAGGATAAGATGGGAGAATTTTTGACCTCACCTATTCCCATATAATGTCAGAAACAAAGCAGTTGCTGTATTCCCTAAAACCAGTGGCTTATTCAGTACATGCTAGAGCAGCCTCCAGCTTCAAAGAAAGGTTCATGGACCCAAAAAATAAACGGATGTAGAGTTAATCGCCCACAAAAGAAAATCCCCCTCCAATCCGACCTATTAGAGCTCTAAAAAAACCCAAACTGATGCTCAAGAGCATTTGATGCTCAAGAGCATCAGTTCACCATCCACTCCAAAGCGTTTTACAATTCAACTATTGCTACTGATACCAAGCATTGTTTTATGTGATGTTTCTGTTGAGTACAACAATCAAAATATATTCCAAATCTCTGTACCTAATTATTACCCTACACTTTAAAGAGAATGCTTAGAAGTGACACAAATTCCACTTGAGAGCATGTGGCGTTTTCTATGTGATGATGTTTTACCTGATGGTTACCAGTTGCAACAACTGGGGTCCCACACCTCAGGCGTGCCTATGTGAATTTGTGGGGTGCTTGCTCAGCGGTGCATGGGTTAGCAGACTGTAGGGAGCTCCATGGGTATGCACAAAAGCTAAAGCACCCACATGTCCATTGGAAGACGTGTGTAAATAGGGGAACCCACATCCATGGAAGAGGCTGTTCATGCTTGTAACCAACACTAGCTCTAAGAGAGGAAACGTGTGTGTGTAACTGTGAATGTGTATGCGTGCACAGCTCTGTGATCTTAACTTTTTGGAATTAGTTATAGAACCGCATTTAGAAATTTGTAGTTGTTCCTTAACATTTCTTCAGCATCTAGTATTCTGGTTTATTTGTTGTATTGCTGATATTGATCCTAAATAGGGTTCACTGATTTCTACTTACTTATGTCTTTAATAAATCAGCAAACCGCTTCAATTTTGGTATGTTTGAACCATAGGAATTGAGTAGGGTTTTTCTGTGACCCTCCAACATTTCATAGACTAATGATTATCTAACTTCATTTGAAGCTTCCAACGTGAATGGACTTGAGCTACAGAATTCTCATTCCCTATAGCTTACGACCTTGACCATCCTTTTTCATATATCAAATGTCATGTTTCACAGCTCTGGGCTGAAATTAAGGAATTTTCAGTATGGGACATAACTATGAAATACACATTCCATTTCACTGAACTGAGCTGATATATCAGATTTCTTCTCAATTTCCAAGTTAAACTGCTGCTTGTCAGTGGAGAAAGCTCTTCCAAATTTGAAGTCCATAGAAGTTATGTGCATGCTTACAAATTATTTGAATTTAAAAAAAATGTATAAGGTCTCCAAATACACAGATTACTATCAATTTTCGACTAACAGTCACAGCAACTATGCACTACCCTCCCTGTGCATGTCTTTAAAAGAAATACAGAATTTGTCAATACAGAACAGAGCAAAATATTTTAAAAACAGTGATCTCAACATACTGCGCTAGAGATACTCTATACCACCAATTTCCCTGTTCTGTTTGTTCTGAATCCAGACTGCCCAACTGCTTTATCAAATGAATACTACTCTTGATGCACTAGATAAGGCTTTTAGGACATCAGTACACTGCAACTCTAAGAAGGAACTATGGCTGCTGTTTTGGCTGGTTTCTCATGAAAAAGAAGAGATAGGCATATATAGATTAATGTAAGGAGTCAAAACACCAAGTTTTACATACCTTGCAGAGCTGAAAAGGTAGCTTAATTAATATCTGTGCAAGAGAGGAGCCAAAAGCCAGACCACCAGATTCCAACTCTTCAACTTGGTGGTTCAGGTTCAACTTTACAGTAAATAACTCGAAAATTTATATACTTTATGCATTAAAAATATCTTTTAGCTATTGCAAAGCTTTGAAAAAGCATCAAAATTTGTGCTAAGACAGGAATTCAGTAAGAGCTGCCCCATGGATCTGGACTCAAAATCGAATATTGTAAACCCAAATTAAACATTGCCTCCACCTTTTGCTTTCAAAGCTGGTACCAAATTCTCATTCCTTTCTCCCTTACGGTCCCAAACAGGACTTTCCAGCCATAGACCTGGGCTCTGTGGAGAATGCCAGCAAGCCAGCAGTTCACGAGTTCAAACAAAAGCAGCTACCTTTCCAACGTTAGGTTACAATAGGTACAAGGCAGCTATAGCAGGTGATAAACAATGAACCAGAAGCTACAGACACAATTACATGGAAGTAAGATGCATTGACAAAGCCAGAAGAAAATCCATTAATCTATAAAACTTTTCTGAAATTGAGAAAGTGATAGGTAGGTTTTACTCTTTAGGAAACCATCGTTCACTTGCAGTGACAGGCTTGGTGAAGAGGAGTGTTCTGGCAGGACCTGTTGTTTCCTTCTTTACATCCAGTGGATTGCTTCTTTTAAGGTCTGTCCAAAGATCTGCTCCTCACCTGGTAAGCCTCAGTCTTTTTTCCAATAGAGTCAAATGTTTATTCCACATCTATCCCAATATGAATGTCTCACATTCAGATGGCTTTACTGTCTCCTAATGGACATCCTAATCCACATCCCCATCTCCTAATGTACACGTGGGTACTTTAGCTTTTGTGTGTACCCGTGGAGCTCCCTGGGTTGGCTAACCCATGCACTGGTGAGCAAGCACCCCACAAGTACACATAGGCACACCTGAGGTGTGGGTCCGCACTTGTTGCAAATGGTAACTATCAGGTAAATGTCACTACACAGAAAATGCCATGTCTCACAAATGGCTTTATTGCGTTTACCACCGCTGCCTGGTGTACAAATACTTTGAAGATTCATAACACTGATAGTTAAGGTAAGGGAAATGTAGTGAGGAAAAGGATAGCAGAATCATCCAAGTTTTTTGTGCTTCTGCCTTCAACAGACAATGCTACCATATTCCAAATGGGTGGTTTAAAAATGAATATTTTTATAACTAGTTTAAACCTGTTTGTTATCTCCAGCAAAGGACCAAAACCAACCAAAAAAAAAGAAAATCCACAGAAAAGGTACCTTTTTTGGTAGTTCATTTTTACCATCTTTTCTCTTACCAAGTGCAAAATAAAGTATTTTACCAACTACTTATACTCCTGTATCTGGAAAGCTGTAGTAATCAGCGCATAAAGTGATAATATCCTCAGCTTTCTATGATTGCTTACCATCCCCTGCAGTTCTTTAAGTACGCAGATTTCAGTTACTATGAAAATAACTGAAGTATCAAAATACTCGAACCAATGCCGTTTGTAAACAAAATGGAAAAGCTATAACTAACTACTCACCAGATTCTCTTCAAACCACTCTCGTAGACACACTGCTGTGGCTCCCGGAATTTGATTTCGCAATGCTTCTTTCTCTTGAGGATCCTCTAGCATTTCCAATGCCATCTTTAGATCTTCCAGGAGATGCAAAATTTGAAATGTGCCCAAGTATACTGATGGAGCAGGTGACACAATATCATAACCACCATTAGCGTACTCTGTAGCTGACTTGGTACCTAAAACAAGTAAATCCAGAAGAGACAATGATGTTAAATAATTGTTTTGTAAGTGACAAATATGTAAGTGACAAAGCACTACACACTACAACATTCGGACCTCAGATGATAACTGACAGGTATCAGTATTTCAGGCTTAGAAATAGATAAATTACAAACACTGGAGAATTAAATGTGAGAGGTATGTACAAGCATATTAAAAAAATAATTTTGACCTAGAAAACATTTGCAATGTCCATTAAATGACAAACGCCAAAACCTTACAAAAAAATAACCTGTAATTTTCCATGGTTACCATGAGATGTCACTAACTTCTCAGCTACATAGCTAGAAGTCCCTACACAGAGCAGTGTTAAGCAATGCAAGAGAGATTGATGCAGTCCTTTGACAAGAAACTTAGATGAAAATAGATCGTGTTACCAGAACTAGAAAAATCTGTGACCTTGAGCAGGTTTAAAACCCTCCCACAGAGAACAAAACCCCTAAAGTTAGCAATAAAAACGGCTGATGAAACTTTGCTAGCTCTCTAAATTACAAAAAGCTCTCTAAATTACAACTCCTCCCTCCTGCCAGCTCTCCAGCACCAATATTATTTTCTCAAGAACAATAAGCACAGCAACAAACATATCTCACTTGATGGAAGGATTATAAATAATACAAGTTCTAATATCTCTGAATCTTTTTATCTTAATAACCTATGTTTCAATGAGATGCACACTAAAATGAGCCATCTTTTCTCAGTCCTGAATTTCAGATCTTGATTTCATTTAATATCCCTTTGTTTCTTTAAGAACTAATGAGATGGAAAACTTCTATTTGCTCTACTTTTTAAAGTTTTTATTTACAATTCATTGCCTCTCTACATAGGAGGTTGTACTCATGTTATGTCTTCATTCCTGTTCTCTCTGGCATAAGCAATCACATTTTCCGCCTTTATTTGACTTCATGGGAGATTTTTTAGGCTTTTGATCATTCTTATTGTCCTCCATTCAATCCTTTCATTTTGTAACATAATTTACAGGCATATGTTGGATCCACATAGCATATAGTATTCCTTAGAAGACTGTATCATTGATCTACACAAGACGATTATAATAATCTCCTTCCTATTCTTTGTTTTACTCCTGCGTTTAACATGATTTACGTCTTAGTTATGAAAGGAACAGAAATCTCCACTGAGCCTTTGAAAATTATTTGCTAAGTTTTTTTCCTGAGCGGATGAATCTAATTTGAAACCCAGAGGTATAAGTAATTCAAATTTTCTTCTTCAATGCACACTATTTTGCATCGATCAATGTTAGTTTGCCTGCTATGGTTATTTATCTAAGACGATTCGGACATTACAAATTACGTTTGAACCCAATGGTTTGTTTTACATATAGCCTGATATACAACTAATATCTAAATACAACTGATGAATACACTGACACTCTAGGTCCTAGTACACTGAAATACCTTCTGCACCTAGATTAGCTTTTAACCAAAATGCTAACTGATCGTTTAATCCTAATATTGTTTCCCATCTCAATCAGTTTTTGATCCAAGACAATATTTTGTCTCTTATTTTGTGAGTGCTTAACTTTACTCAAAGCTTTTGGGAAAATCCTAAATAATATTAACCAGGTCTTCTTCAACCACTCCTTTAATGACACAAAGAATTCTATCAGATCAATTAGCTTTGCAAAAAAATTGTGTGGTTTGAATTCTACTGTACGATTTATCTGTTTTCTTGTTTGAATGTTTTAAACACTGCAAAACCATCCCTAGAAATCTCTAAAGTTTTGCAAGGCTCAGTAGTAGGGATTTTTTTTTTTTTTTAAACAACACTCTTATTTTCTCTAATGGAGTATTTCATATAGTCTTAACCTCTTTTCAAACTCAGAATATTCCCTGTTTTGTCTTGTTGACTTCTGCTGCTTACAAGTTTATTTTAATACCTCGAGTGCAAGATCTCATCTTAATTTCTGGCACAGACCACATCCAAGATAATGTTTCTTCAATATCCGGTGCTACAAAGATTGATACACAAGACAACTTTACCTCGTAAATCAACCTTGTCTTCCTGAATTGTTTCCTTTTGAGGAGAGGATCAACTAACTGTTCAGCTGCATTTGAGTATTCTAACCACTAAAAGATATTTTCTTGTGTGTTTCTATACTGTCAGCTACTTATGTCAGCTTAGTTGTTTCTGTTTATGTACTTCCTAATGCAGTTAACATTAAACTCTAGCAACTAAAAATAGCAGATTTCCAAATTGTGTAAGAGCCATTTGGATCATATAACCTCTTAAATCTTTTCATTCAGCCAGAGTGGCTCACTACTTAGTTTCCAAAAGAGATAGCATACTGGCATTGTCCTCTTTCGTAACATTGGTGACATCTTCCCTCACCAGTCTAAATGCCTCACTACGTATCACATCTTGCCTCCATCCTTAGATTACCATGGCTACAACGTTACTGGAAATCTCTACCTTCTACAGAAAGTAATTTTAAATTCTGTAGGAAAATTTGTTGACAGTGAAACTCACACATTTTGGCATGCCCTTATTTGATTTGCCTCTATCAAAACACTAGAAAGAAACCATATATGCAGTCTTTAATCTTGACAAGCAAAAGAACCGTCACCCTTAAGAAACTCATTTCTATGAAGGTAAAAATTCTCAAGTGCTGGAGCATAGCCAAGGCCAGCCAGGAATTGTATGTTATGATTTCCTGAGACTGGACATACTCCATATGCATGCTTCAGTTATCCCAAGCTCTTCAACTGATTGTTCAGACTGGCAGAATTCTAAGTATCCTCAAAAGTCTCATATTTTACACAGCAGTGGAAGGGCATTATTTCTCAGAACTCTGAAGAACTGGGTCCACAAGTGCTGAGTTTCCGTAGTTGTCAGCTAAGGTGGGTCTTGAGGACAGTCCTGTCCTGTGTAGGGACATTTGGAAGACGGTAATGTGTTTTTACTGGGAAGGAACATCAGCTTGACATTTAGTGATTGAGACAAAATCAATTTAAGAAATATCAGGGTTTTTTCTTACTGTTCCCTTTCTTGTTTCAAGTTTTCCTCCATTTAGGTTTGCATAAAATAAGAAATAAAAAAGAAGCCAGAAGAAGGAAATATTTTTCTATTCATTGCTAACAAAAAGAGATGCAACAAATGAAAATCATCAAAGACATCCTTATAGCAAACTCATGTTCCCTGAACTACCTAACAATGCACAAAAGCTGGTCATATCTTATGGCTTACCCCATACTTATGACTGGGAATTCATTCTGAGCATAAATCGTACAGGTTTTTAAACAGCAGAACACAATAAAGATACTTCAAAATTTTCTTATCTAATAATAGTAAACAAAGAACACAGTATTTGTTTGCTTACATGAATAAAGATGTAATGACCTTACAAGTGAACTGTCTGTAAATTCTTATTAAAGATATTAAAGATTCCATTAAAACTTGAAAGGAAAACCATCTCTGATTAATACCAACTAAAGTTAAATGAAGGAAGTAGATTGAAAGGCTCGATTTAATTCATAATTTTAAATCTTTCAACTGAGGTTATTATTCATGAAAGAAATTACTAAGAAAATATAGGGATGATGCCCAGTTGTGTAAGGATCGGGGCAGAAGGGCCAGGGCACAGCTGGAGCTGAACTTGGCAAGAGATGCAAAGAATAATAAGGGCTTCTACAGGTTCATCAGCCAGAAAAGGAAGCTCAAAGAAAGTGTACACCACCCCCACCCCCACCCCTCCCGATGATCAAGACTGGCAAACTGGTAACAGCAGACGAGGAGAAGGCTGAGGTACTCTACAACTTTTTTGTGTCAGTCTTCACTGGCAACCTCTCTTCCCATACCTCTGAAAATACAGAATTCTATGGGACCTAATGAGATGCATCCCAGAGTCCTGAGGGAACGGGCTGATGTAGTTGCCAAGCCACTCTCCATGATATCTGAAAAGTCATGGCAGTCAGGTGAAGACCCTGGTGACTGTAAATAGGGATACTTTTCACCAAGGGTAGAAAGGAGGACCCTGGGAACAACCAACTTGTCAGCCTCACCGCTGTGCCTGGGAAGATCATGGAACAGATCCTCCTAGAAGCTATGCTAAGGCATATGGAGGACAGGGAGGTAATTTGAGACAGCCAGCATGGCTTCACCAATGGCAAAGCTTGCCTTACCAACCTAGTGGCCTTCTATAATGGAGTGACTATATCAGTGGACAAGGGAAGAGCTACGGATGTCATCTATCTGAATTTCTGTAAGGCCTTTGGCGTGGTCCCCCACAACATCCTTCTCTCTAAATTGGAAAGAGATGGATTTGATTAATGGACTGCTCGGTGGATAAGGAATTGGCTGGATGGTTGCACCCAGACAGTAGCGGTCAATGGCTCAATGTCCAGAGGGAGACTGGTGAGAAGTGGTGTCCCTCAGGGGTCTGTACTGGGATCAGTACAGTTTAGTATCTTCATCAAGGACGTAGACAGTGGGATAGAGTGCATCCTCAGCAAGTTTGCCAACACCACCAAGCTGACTGGTGTGGTTGACAACCTGGAGGGAAAGGATGCCATTCAGAGGGACCTGGACAGGCTTGAGATGTAGGCTTACACCAACCTCATGAAGTTCAACCAGGCCAAGTGCAAGGTCATCATCTGGGTCAGGGCAATCACAAGCACAAATACAGGCTGGGTGGAGAATTGATTGAGAACAGGCCTGAGGAAGACTTGGGTGTGTTGGTTGATGAGAAGCTTGACATGAGCCAGCAAAGCACGCTCACAGCCCAGAAGGTCAACTGGGCTGCATCAAAAGACGCATAGCCAGCAGGTCAAGGGAAGTGATTCTGCCCCTCTACTCCACTCTGGATACCCCACCTACAGTACTGCGTCCAGCTCTGGAGCCCTCAGTACAGAAAAGACATGGACCTGTTGGCGTGGGTCCTGAGGAGGCCACAAAAATGATCTGAGGGCTGGAACACCTCTCCTATAAGGACAGGCTGAGAAAG